ACCTTCACTTTAATCAAATCTTTCTAGATCGAACTAATGTTTTTCTAAAAAAGCTAGAGAATTTTTATAAATGGATTTGAAATAGAGTAACAAATAGAGCGTAACGCATAGATTGTAACTAGACAACAATAATACTCGTAAAGCCAAAGTCCACAAAATAAATGTCAATGTAGGACAAGAACAATAGAGATTTCAGTGGCCAGACTTATATGGATCATCTCTTTACTGAGTCCAATTATGATACCTGGAGGAAACCTAGATAACGGTTATTATTATATATATTTTAAAATGTAAAAATAAAAAAGTTATAACACTAATAAAGAACCAAATACAATTTGATGATGTCTATTTCAAAATTTAAAATCTCTATTGAAAAATTAATGGCTTATTTGATTAGTTTAATGCTAAAGCATTTATTATTAAGTAGCAAATTTGAGGGTTGTTGATAATTGATTGAGCTGAATCGATAAACTTAAAGAAATGATTTAACACAACGAAATATGTCTTAAACCAAAACTTCTATTCAGTGTGTGATTATTTAGTAAGGCTAAATGTATTCACAAAATATTTTTTAATAATTGCAACGCATTTTGATTGCATGAAAATGTTCGTAATATTTAATCATTATCACATTTATGTCTTAATTTTTTAAAACTGTATTCTTATTCTCAAATTAACACAACTTGTCCCTTATGGCGGTTTTGTCCAAATAAAATAAAGACATTTACCATTGTATTTTTAAATAAGCCAAAAAAATAGAATTACAACTATATATTTATTCCTCATTTTAGAGCACGTTAATAACATTTGTGCAAGGATAATATTTGCTAGCTAAGGAAATGTTAAAAATAAAGATGTGATGAAAAACTTAAAGATGTAAATACGAAAATGATAAAGGTTAGGACCTTTAAATATTAGGAGTGGATGCCAGAACAAACTTTCTTAAATTTTTCACGTAAATATCTATGTAGAGAATTCTGAGAGTTAATATTATACATATGATCAAATTGATCATGATCATAAAATGAGGTACATTTATATAAGTTCAATTCTATTGAGGTTTATTTTTATAAGGCCAAGGGGGCCACATTTATAAACAATCCGCGTTGAGAGAGCTTGAGTGGACCTGAAATATATTTTGTGAATAATTATTGGCGAAAGTTCATTGTGTCACACTTTTGGTAGTACAATCGATAATCCCCTTCGAGGCTTTATTCCATTCAAATAATTTTCAATTTAATAATCAACACTAATATTGTTAATGTTAACACAAGACTCGACCTACTGCACCAAAGTTACTTGAGCCGCCTCCAAACGATTATAAGGTATAAGTCACATCTAATACTTAAGACACTCCTAAAATTCCCAAAAACCCCTATATCGACAAGGGAAGTTTCTAAAACTTAGTCCCCTTTTTGGTTCAGCTAAAAAATAATTTAAATCTAAGCTAAACTCTTTAATTATACATTTCATTAGATTCACAACTTTTCAACCACATATTTAATCAACTTTTATCAAAATCTACTAAAAATTTATTTATTTATTTATTTATTTATTTTAATTTCAAGAAAACAGGGGCTTAATCAAATTCTCCGGAAATCCCTTGTAACAAAAGCAAAAGTGAACTCATCGTCGTCGATCACCTTCACTTTAATCAAATCTTTCTAGATCGAACTAATGTTTTTCTCAAAAAACTAAAGAATTTTTATAAATGGATTTGAAATAGAGTAACCAATAGAGCGTAATGCATAGATTGTAACTAGACAACAATAATACTCGTAAAGCCAAAGTCCACAAAATAAATGTCAATGTAGGACAAGAACAATAGAGATTTCAGTGGCCAGACTTATATGGATCATCTCTTTACTGAGTCCAATTATGATACCTGGAGGAAACCTAGATAACGGATATTATTATATATATTTTAAAATGTAAAAATAAAAAAGTTATAACACTAATAAAGAACCAAATACAATTTGATGATGTCTATTTCAAAATTTAAAATCTCTATTGAAAAATTAATGGCTTATTTGATTAGTTTAATGCTAAAACATTTATTATTAAGAGCCTATTTGAGCCACATTATAATGAGAATGAGAATGAGAAATAGAACCGTTATGGGCCCCCACACCAGAGATAGAAATTCAAAAATTGTGGCTTGATGTGATGAATAACGGTCATATTTTTCATTTTAATGAAGTAAAAATGTGGCTCAAACAGGGGCTAAGTAACAAATTTGAGGGTTGTTGATAATTGATTGAGCTGAATCGATAAACTTAAAGAAATGATTTAACACAACGAAATATGTCTTAAACCAAAACTTCTATTCAGTGTGTGATTATTTAGTAAGGCTAAATGTATTCACAAAATATTTTTTAATAATTGCAACGCATTTTGATTGCATGAAAATGTTCGTAATATTTAATCATTATCACATTTATGTCTTAATTTTTTAAAACTGTATTCTTATTCTCAAATTAACACAACTTGTCCCTTATTGCGGTTTTTGTCCAAATAAAATAAAGACATTTACCATTGTATTTTTAAATAAGCCAAAAAAATAGAATTACAACTATATATTTATTCCTCATTTTAGAGCACGTTAATAACATTTGTGCAAGGATAATATTTGCTAGCTAAGGAAATGTTAAAAATAAAGATGTGATGAAAAACTTAAAGATGTAAATACGAAAATGATAAAGGTTAGGACCTTTAAATATTAGGAGTGGATGCCAGATTGTTCAACCTGAGTTTCTTGAGAACTTGAACCGAACCAAATCCCATTGAGAATTTCAAAATGGACAAGTTGGTTCCGTAGACAATGGAGAATTTAATTGGACCGAATCGAGCGATTTTGGATCTTGTCCGGTTTGATTCCTTTGAATTATAGATGTATCAGTATGTAAATGAATCGCTATCTATTTTAAATTGTAGAGGTATTACTATTTGAAAAGTAAATCAGTTGTACTCTAGTCAAAAGCTTACACCTAGGACAATATTATCAGAACAGTGTGCACTGTGGTATTAATAATAAATATTAAAAGGCGAAATGGGTTGTCACTGGATATACAAAAAACTGTTGACAGCAACTCGTTTTGGCCAATATCTGTATCCAGCTCAAACACTTTTCACCACACAACTTGAATTTATGGAACCCTCCCTGCAATTTCTACAGACCCCACAAACTCCCTATAAATACCCTTGAATGGATCCTATTCCAACATCAAACAACAATCTTAAACACCAAATCTTCTTAGATTTATTCATTGTATTTTGCCAACGCAATTCAACTCTTCAGTAATGACTTCTTTGAATTCGGTTTCTTTAGTTTTAGTTATAAGTAGCTGTTTTGCAATAGCATTTGGAGGTAATTTCCATCAAGATTTTGATATCACATGGGGAGATGGAAGAGCTAAGATACTCAACAACGGAGAACTTCTTACTCTCTCACTCGATAAAACTTCTGGCTCCGGATTTCAATCCAAAAATGAGTATCTATTTGGCAAGATTGATATGCTACTCAAACTTGTCCCAGGAAATTCTGCTGGCACCGTCACTGCCTATTATGTAAGCACAGTAGAAGAGATTTCATCTTCTTTTTCTTTCTTGATACCATACTTTGTACATTTTTAACTAATAATGTGTTATGTATTGTGCAGTTGTCTTCGCAAGGACAAACCCATGATGAGATAGACTTTGAGTTCTTGGGAAACCTTAGCGGCGATCCTTATATTCTTCACACCAATGTGTTTGGCCAAGGAAAGGGCAATAGGGAGCAGCAATTCTATCTCTGGTTCGACCCGACTGCAGATTTTCACACCTATTCCATCCTTTGGAATCCCCAACGTATCATGTAAGTTATTTCACAGTTACTACACACCTCCTCATTATGCTTTGTTGGAACTTCTGACTTTTTCTTTTGTGCTCCCATTACAGCTTTTCTGTGGATGGCACACCTATCAGAGAATTCAAGAATTCGGAATCACTTGGTGTTGCATACCCAAAGAACCAACCCATGAGAATCTACTCTAGCCTGTGGAACGCAGACGATTGGGCAACAAGAGGCGGTCTTGTGAAAACTGACTGGAATCAGGCTCCCTTTATCGCATCCTACAGAAATTTCAATGCAAATGCCAGTGTTTCGTCCTCATCTTCTTGCACTCAATCTTCAACTTCAAGCAGCAGCAATTCATGGCTGAATGAAGAGTTGGATTCCACAAGCCAAGCGAGGCTAAAATGGGTGCAGAAAAATTACATGATATATAATTATTGCTCTGATTCAAAGCGATTCTCCCAGGGATTCCCTCCAGAGTGTAGCATTAACACCACAGAATAAAAAAGAAATTATATTTCTGAAGTTTGATTAATTTAGGCACAGGAATATTGTATTCATTCATTTGTTCGGACTGTATAATAATTGTTCTTTCACGTATGATCAAATTTATCTTACACTTGAATACATCATTATCCTCCCGGGGGAATTTTAGAATTTTTACATAATTTGTTCAGACATTTCTTCTGCGTGTTTCAATGATCCTTCGACAAATCAGGCAAATTTTCCAACAATTTCCTTAGCTTTCGTCAAGGATAAAAATATATTGGCCTGTGTAAGCATAGAAACACACCCAATTTCGAATCTAAAGGCCAGAGACTGAGTATTACACACGAATAAAGCCCAAATTCTTAAAAATTCAGTTAATAAGAATCAAATAATTACCTCGTCCGAGTATAAGGAACATTAGAGGTAAATGTAAAAAACAGAATACAAAAGCATCCTTAAATCATACAACATTTCACAGAACAAATATGGATAATTAGTCCGTAGTCTTAACCTAGTTTCTGAACACACAGGAAACTTACTGTACAGGTGGCTGTACATGAAATATGTTATCAAGAACAAAGAAACATCGAAGAACTTCGAGATTCCTGAGAAAAATCTACCATGCAATCCTGAACTCTACATATCTACTTGCACTGCAGAAGATCCACTAATAGGTAAATGTAAAAAACAGAATACAAAAGCATCCTTAAATCATACAACATTTCACAGAACAAATATGGATAATTAGTCCGTAGTCTTAACCTAGTTTCTGAACACACAGGAAACTTACTGTACAGGTGGCTGTACATGAAATATGTTATCAAGAACAAAGAAACATCGAAGAACTTCGAGATTCCTGAGAAAAATCTACCATGCAATCCTGAACTCTACATATCTACTTGCACTGCAGAAGATCCACTAATCGTCAAATGGAGGACGGTTAGTATTGATACCTGAACATCTCAACAGAAAATTTTACTCATCTTCTAACTCCACAAGTTCTGCCCTCCTCTCAGCTGCTTTCTTCCTGACGAAGATACCCCACCTCATTGCGGCCTTAATTTTCAGCCACCCGACAACAGCCTTCCCGGAACGGGTATGATCCTTGTTATAACTGAATTCTGGAGAGGGTGCTGGGACGTAAGAAGGGAAATTGTACCCGTCTTCAGACCCATTAACAGAGGCATGACCTCCCAAGCTGAAAAGCCGAAGCAAATGCTGCATGTCTTCATTCTCAAGTATTTCGTGACTTTTTAGGCGAATTTCCTCTTCTGACAATAAATTTTCTACACCCTTGTCCCTGTTGTGAGGCCAATCCTCGAACGGGTTAATCATAGTCTGCTGTACTGAGGAGTTGCCTGTCTGGAATGGTGATGATTGAGAAGGACCAAGTGCAAGCCCAACGCTATTGTCATACATCGTAATCTGCTGAGGATGGTTGACCTGCTGCTGATCATTGTGAGTAAAAGCGGCAGGATCAAACTGAGAACCGGAACTGGAGTTCATAAGCGGAGACTGGATAGGGTATCTCATAGTTGTATTGTCATTGTAAGAGGAACCTGGGATTGGTGGGAAAAAATGGTAGTAAGGAATAAGATAAGGCAATGAAGACATTCTTCAGCTGGTTTTGTGCTGACCCATTCTCATAACAATTAGCACCCAAGTTATTTCTTTGACAGATTCACCCTAATGGGATCCTCAATCGGAAGTTAGAAAAATAAGTAAAGGCGGGAAGGTGGGAGCAAGGACAAAACAAAAGGACAAGAAATGTCCAGGCCTGACACCCTTTTTAAATTTTTCAAGCGCCTCCATATTTGATACTAAGATCCTGCTCAGAAAATCATATCCACTATCCAGCCATCCTACCAACATGTACTTTATGCAGAGAGCATCTGAAAACATGATTCCCCAGGAACCAACCGAAGTTAAAAAAAATTGACTAAATATGCACCCAAAACACCATCACATCCAAATTCACAAGGTAAAAAGGAGCATAAAAGCTTTGATACCTTTATACATTATCCATTTTAGTAAAGACTGCAAGATTGTTGATGGTCAGGCTAGGCAATAACAATAAGAAAGGTCATATCATATCTTGGGCCATGGTAGAGATATTACGGAAGCAGTTGCTTCATTATCAATTTGTTTCTCCCAAGATGATTAAAACAAATTGTATAATCTTTCAAGGAGAAGCAGTACAAGCTATTGAAGAAATATATCGGAGTTTTGGTCTGTTGAAGGTGATTGAGACTGGAAACAAAACAATTTTCGTTGCAGGGAAACAGCCCCCAACCCCACCCACCAAAAAAAAAAGGGGGGGGGGAAGTAGTGGAATGCATTTTGAGGCATATGAGATAAAGAAAATTGTTGCCCATCTTAGATCAGAAAGCTCAATTTTCATTATTTACTTCTCTCAGAAAGCTCAATTTTCATTATTTACTTCTCTCTTTTGGCCGTAAGGGATGCTTTCATTTATTTGCAAAAAGAAATTTTATTCAATAAGTGATATTTACCTCCAATCTGCATGCTTGGAATCATTGATGAAGGCTCAGATGGAACAGATGCTGGCAATCTTGGCGGTAGAAAAGGACTCTCTACAACATCAGGATAATTGACCGGGCCCATGGGAAGATCGTTACATAGAGCACTCGACTTCTTTTGCTTGAAGTTCGAAAGAGATTTTCCATCATACTCCACAACTTGGTTCCAGTTATCATATGCTTTATTAACCAAGGTATCCACATATACCTACAGGTAAAGTTTTAAAGATTTCCACAAGGCATTACAAAGAGACTGCCTTCTCCATCTAGCTAATCAGATGCAAACAAAAATATTCTTCCAGCTAATAATGAATATGCTGGATCAGCTTTGACCATTGAGTTTGAAGTTTATCTGACAAATATATGTTATGCCAGTTGCTTGAATACCAGTCTTAGTTAACATTCATTTAAACAGGATGAGATTTAAACAGAAAATACTAATTCAAAATAGAAAAATAAAAAAATTACTTTCACCATCCTGATTTAAAATCCGTCTTTGGGGATCAAAATGTTATAGAAAACTTGAGTATTTTATAAAACACCATCATATAATTTTTCCATTGTTCTTCAAAGTAGTCATATAAATATTTGGCGGATAGTTGCAATAATCAATTCAATAAGAATATCTGGAGATGACAACAACTAGCACAATAGATATCTATTAACACGAGAATCCAAATTAAGAAAATTACATTTTCTAAATGGTATATACTATACTTGAGCAACTTCTACGAGTTAGCAATTTTCAAAACCAACACACATTTTTTTTTAAAAGTAAACAAAGTTCTGAGAACTTTATCAGTTAACCCAAGAGTTCGCATACCAGTATCTTACATGGATCACAAATTACTTCAAAAAACCCAATCCAAGTTTTACAACGTACAAGATGTGTCTAATACTTTGCACTGATTCTCTACTCAAAAAGCATGCACTACCAGTCAATAAAAAGCTTAAATTATGAATATTTGACGTACCCTCATTTCCTCCAGTTTGAGTCATTGGCAAAAAAAAAAAAATAAAGAGGATGCAACAGCTATTACTGTACTACAAATTTTAACCATCAATTAACAGATTCAGAGTGAAAGGATGACCTTGTTTCTATGAATATATGAAAAGTTATAATTTTGCAAGAAAGACATCAGCTTATACAATATAAGAGCACACTCATTTTAAGTGAAATGTTACAAACCTTCTGGCTGTCAGAAAGTAAATCTGCTGGATAATATTGGTCATTAGCAATCAGGCCACTTAGCTCATAGATGTTATTAAAAACAGCGCCTACATTTCTTGAATCATCGGAGTAGTAAATATAAAACTTCCCACTCAAGACACAAGTCTTCGAGTGCTCTATGAGGACATCCCACATCTTATTTGACATACCACTCCCGAGGATCTACAAAGACCATATATACAAATCAAATTATGAAAAGCAAGAACTTCCTAACTCTAGAACTGAAGAAAGATTCTTACTTTCCGTAGTCTTTGAGAGTCTCTGACAACAAGACGAAGAAAGTCTTCAACCGTAAATATTTCTGCACTATTAAGCCTCTTGTGGAATGACCCATCCTTTCCTATCTTTTCCAATCTCCATACTTCATCTTTAAGAGAAGGTGGATAGTGTTTCTTGTACACTGACCAGGAGCAAAGGCACTTTTCAATAAAAAATTCACAATACTGAGCTAAGAAAACAATAAAAATAAACAGAGAATGTGTTTACATTCTCCTCTGTGATCTTTAACTGTAAAAGCCTCTGTCTTTGCTTCTTGTATGCGTATACCCTCGCAATATCCTGGTGCAACCTTCAGACCAAGTCTAAACTTCCTGCTCCTTATCCAACTTGAATTATCTGTAAATGTGAGATCTCCTATCGTTCCAACACCTTCCTTGAGAGTCACTTGCAAATCCCCAGTCAAAAGAGGTCTCTTTCCCTCACGTTCTTTCACAACATGGCTCTCAAACTCCTCTTGAGTCCAGCTTTCATCATCTTCATTGTTGAAATCACCTTCTAGTACCACAATATCAAGCTTCGCAGAAGATTCAGGTCCAGATGTCACAACATGGCTTGTGTTTGCATCTATTAGTACAACATGAATTGCAGCACCCTGCTCCCCCTCTACCTTTCCCCCAGTGAAGAGTGGAAGAGAAATTCTATACTTAAAACGAAGCTGCAAGTTCCTCCCATCTGGCCCTTCAATTCGTTTAGGTGATGACCTGTAATATCAATTTTTTTATAAAACAACTTCTAGAGACAGACAGCTCAAAACTTTGGAGGAGTGAAACAATACAGAACACTCAACCAGACCAAGAAAACAATTGCACTGAAGTGGCCAAGTAATATAGATATATTTACAATACAAAAAAATATTAAATAAAATAAAGATAGTCATATTTTCCAATGCCAATCAAGTTTCACAAAAAATGAGTTCCGTAATAGAGAAAATGACAAAGCAAAATGATAAGGATTAGTGATGCATGTGCAAAAGAGTACAGCAAAAATTATACCTTCCCTATTGTTTAATTAACAAGACATCAATGAAAGAGAGAAGAATAACAGGATAAAATATTTCGTTAAAGATTTGACGATGAGCTTCTTAGTAATTGATCTAATCCAAGAGATAAATCATGCATGGAGAAAAGCAACTAGGCCTTTCCGTAATAGAGAAAATGACAAAGCAAAATGATAAGGATTAGTGATGCATGTGCAAAAGAGTACAGCAAAAATTATACCTTCCTTATTGTTTAATTAACAAGACATCAATGAAAGAGAGAAGAATAACAGTATTCATACCATTATCAACTAATCAGGATTTATTGATAAAATGATACCAATTAGATATTTGGAAACAGAAAGATTTATCAAAATGAAGAAGCATCCTAAAGGTGCCTAAATACCAGACAAGTAATGATGTCCAATTCGGAAACAAACATTTGATGGTTTAGATGTTTTATAAGGCATTTAACTAACACTGTTCATCAAAAGAAGAAGACCGAGATTAACATATTGTGCTGCACGAATGTACATGAGCGTGTAGAAGGGGAACTGGGTGAAGAACGATAGGCAAGGAAAGAGAGTGTTTAAATTGTAGAAACTGGAAATGACCCAAAAGTAGAAAAATGTAGACACTAGCATAGTTATATACGAACAAAAAAAGAGAGAATTATAAAGCAAAAAAATTGCAAAGGCAATGTAAAAAGCAACTGAGATTAATAATATCAATATCAAGCAGTCATTTTTGGTAAACAGAGAAGATCCTTGGAAACTAAAAAAGTCTTCTTATGTATGGTGTTTATGAGACTTGTATAGCTCTTCTAGAATATAACCTTAGTGGAGGAAAGTTAAAGAGGAGAATACGTGTCGTGAACAATTAACCCATATAAGCATGAGGCAAGGCTTTATTGCTTTTGTTAATGCCTTCTAGAATAGCTGTAAGTCGTATTCGGCGCTATCAGACTAAAGCCCTGTTTGGGCCCCTTTTTTTGGGGGGAATTGTGTTTTAGAATATTATTTTTCAGAGAATGTGTGGTTAAAATAAGGAAAAATTTTGGGTTTACGTGTAAAATTATTTTATGGGAAAATGAGTGGTCAAAAATGGATTTTGGAAGAATAAGTTTTGGAAAAAATGGGGCTCAAACTGGGACTAAGTTCCAAGACTTGGAATCTTTTCCTGTTTAAGTTGATTGAAAGAGGGTGGAGAACTGGGCTTTTTCACAAATGGCCTCAGTTTCTGTCAAACTGCCATAATGATGTAATCCCACTTGAGATATACTATCAAAAACAGAATATGTAGAATCTAAGAAGAGAAAGAATAAACATAACTCAAAAATAAATAAATAAATAAATAAAAATCAATTTGAATTTGAACAATCGTTTGCAACACCTATTCCAAGCCCCAATAATCTGCTCTGAAATAGAGCACTCCTGATTTCAATGCTTCAAGAATTTACTATTTGGTTGCATCTTCCTTTTTCTAGCTAAAGAAGTCCTTGAAATCAACTCATACCTATGCAATCTCTTTCCTATAGAGTTAATATTGTTAAATAAATGAGAACAGTTCACATTAAGCATTGACACGCTTTTGGAAGGCGACATTCACATGGTTCTAAGGGGGCCCCAATTGTCCACCCATATCTATGGAAAGTATAAGTCCTGCACTTTCACCAACGGCAGTGAAGGTTAATGCCGGCTGGACCCAGCACATACTTTTGTGATTGATCCTTAAAAGTATTTTTAACATTCTTAGTATATTTTATTTTTCCTACTCCTGCAAGGGTTTTCTTAACATTAAAGCATTTCCTCCCTGCGTGCTCTCCTTCTCTCAAATTCTCAACAAACTAAAGCTCATAACAGGTTGCATTCGAGGATAGGAACTTAACTACTCAGCTAGTCATTGTACTAATACAACTGAGAAATTAAATTTACCAAAGCAACAAACATTGAAAATGTGATAACCATTTCAATTCAATTAGAAGTGGTACTCAACAAATTTTTTCTTTTCTCAAATACCAAAGGAGATATAAAAGCACAGAACATCAACATAATCATAAATTAAATGATTAAAAAAAATAGTCATTTGCTATGTAATGGGAAAAAAGTCAAACCTTCCACTTCCAGTTAGTCGGGCAGGCCCCAACTTTGCCAAAGCACGTTCGACTTCTTCACTAACCTGTTCAAGATAAAATCGATATATAATACATACAAAGTTCTAGAGTCTAAAAACAAATATAATGGAAGAACAAGAACACAACTATCAGAGCATAATCAGGTGAATGAAGAGTGTTTATTTTACCACTCTCCGGAGAATTGGCTCTAAGGACGAGAAAAGCTTCTGGAGATGATCCATCTTTAGAGCTTCCACAATAACACTGCAAGTAACAGACTAATTTCTTAAACAACACAACATTTTACTTCTCTCAGCACCACTATGAGGAAACAAAAGATGCAAATGAGAATTTCACACCGTATTAGACGAAGAATTAATATCAAAAGGAGCATATCTGAACCGGCAGGGAAAGATCCCATAAAAGTTACATGTTTAGAGTGCATGATTTCCAATTTAATGATTCATAAATATCTGGTGATCAAACAATCATCAAGATATTATAGTTAATCATGATAAACTAAAAATTTATAGCATTATGAGAAAAAGTAACAATTAAAATTCCCTTTCCATTAATTCAAATGCTTTAATGGACTGTGTTCCAGTTCTATACAGTTCATCTCCGTTGTTAAACAAAATGCAAAATCCAAACAACGAACTCCTAATTTGGGATTGGTATCCAATTGGTGGATTTGGGTTTAGCAAATCCCAACAGTCAAATGTCCCGAGAACATGTTACATTCAAAAGCAGAGGAAAGTTCAAAGAATGACATTAAATTAAAAATATAGCTTAAAAAGCTTTCTAAATTTCATTAATAAATTGTCAAAAAGCCAAAATGCTATCGATCACATTTGTCATCACGAAACTCCATAGAAAAAACCACCACTTCACATAATTTTCAGCCAATTTTGATCCAGTGTAAGGAAAAGTTTTGAGACGAGATTTCATTTTCTCAACAAATAGAATAATTTATAACATAAGATAAGATGCAACCTTGGAGGTTCACATAAGAGATTATACTTCTACTTGCAATTTCAAAATCATAACTTCTGAATTATTTTTAGCGTAGTTGAGCTTCAACTTTAAGTATAGCCCTCGTTTGGCCCCCATTAGCTTTCTTCTTTTTTTTCCTCTCTCTTATTTTCAATCACACAATCTTCCATAAAATAATATTACTCGTAAATCGAAAACTTTTCACCCTCTTCAACCACACATTTTTCAAAAAAAAACTATTCCAAACATTAAAATTTGGAAAAAAATTGGGGCCAAACAGGGGTATAAACCTCAGATTGACCTTCACTCCATTCAACACGCAACTAGAATATAAACGACCAAGTGCAACCCCACGTGGTTTCCATTAGAAAAACTAACTAACAAAAATAGGCCATTAATTTACTGTGTGATTTTTAAAATACCAGTTCCACAAAATTCCATGCCAAAGAGATGATCTTATAACAAAGTCATAAATACACCAATGCAGAAATTAAACTTCGAATAAGTTTAGAAGTGTCAACCCCGTATGATAATTTCAATATAGCCATTCCTGTATCCCTGTTTGCCTAAATTAATACCACGACTCCAGAATCAAGCCCTTATGGTTAAAAAGAATCTATTGCTTACTTAATTCGAAAGGAAGAAAAATTTCAACCAAAATCGAAACCCACAAATTTATCAATAAATACAACACCAATTTTCTCACCTAGCTAAAGCAGGAATTTTTCTAGCTGGTTTCTGATCTTCATCATCACCACCCTCCAAGCTCCTCTTCCCTCTTCCATTCATTGAATTTGTTCTCTCCTTAAACCTTGTCTGCATCAGAACTCTAAAAGATAACAAAATAAATAAATAAAATAACATAAAAATCAAAATGAATTCTATATATCAATTTAATTCGTCCAGACGATCTGGATTCACCCACTGCCCACAATCCCATCTCCACTTTCTTGCCTCTTAACACCAGATCCACAAAGACATCAATCAACACACTTACACACAACCCATTGCCCATGCCCAAATTTAAGCATGTACATGGATTACATACACAATATTACCTGTTGAGGAGTAAGAGTGAAAAAAGAAAGGAGGTTGACAAATTTTGTGCTTTAATTAATGAGTTTTGGATGTGTGGAGTTGTGGGCTAGCGTATAAAACATTGGATGACGATGACGACTAGTAAGAGAAGACAAGTGGTATCTGGTAATAACAAGAGTTTTAGATCTTTTTGGATTTCGCTTATTTTTTTGCCTTTTTTTGTCGTAATACGATAAATGTTATTTAATTGTGGTCACGTCACCAAACTATACAAAATCTAGCATTTAGGTTCTTATTTAAGTGTTCCTGTCATATACGTCCCTTGGGGGAGCCAAATCAAATTAAAAGCACAAAATGACTTGTCTCGAGACAAAAAAAAATTTCACTCTCTTCTACCAATTGCTTGACCAAGAATCTTGCGTACACCTAAATCTTAGAAACTACTCTAACATTAGCTTCTTCTTTTTTTCTTTTTTCTTTTTTCAAAACTGTGTTTGAATAAAAATTAATATATTTGGAAGGAGCTATATTTTTTGGTGATTTCAATAGAGCTCACGTAAACACAAACAAAACTATATCTATATTCTTATATGAGAAAAATACTTGAATTTGTGAATAGATTGGAATTGGGACGAGAGACATAAAGGTTCATTGTAACTTCTTGTTAAAGATTTCATGATGTACACTCAGTAGACAAATAATTTTTTGGCAAAACTTAAAAATAATTTAATTTTTTACTAAATTTTACATTCAATTGAAGAGGGAAAAAAAAGAAAGAAGGAAACTCAAATTCCAGAAAGCCAGCGCGACCACAAGCTCCGATCTCCCTTTGTCACCTTTACGTCTCTACACTTTTAAAAGTGTGCTAATCAATTCTTAATAGATAGAGTCCTTCAATTTTATCTATAAAATTAAAATCCGTATTCAACTTCTTCCTACCATGTGCTTCTCCAAACTTTAGGAAGCCATCAAGTTGATTCGCGTTAAATGCAATTCGTTCATTCTGCTATTAAAATTGCACGTACCCTTTCATTTGATGGGTTTGTATTGAAAGTTCAAGAGCCCATTTTTTCCTGGGTAATGCTATTGAGTCCTATTGGACTTATAACCTCAGTCTAGATGAACTAATATGACATTAAATGATAGATGAAATATAATGAATCATTTAATTTTACATTTCATTTAGCCTATCATCTAGCGTTACTTAAATTGAGGTTATAACCCTAATGAGGCTCTAAGTAACATTACTCTTTTCCTGTTCATTGACTTGAATTCCATTTTTATTCTTGTTTATTTTAATATGTTTTAAAGAAAAATAAAAATACTCATTACGTAGGTCATTCACAAGACGTGTCACATAAATATTGAATATGGTGGAATTTGGATTCTATTGATGGAGACTGATTTGCATCACTATTGTTCGCAATATATTATGTCAGACAAATTGAATAAGAACTTTTTTGTTTTAGCGTAAATTGAATGACGACTTAAATGCTATATTTTACAAAGTGTTGTGGCCTCAATTGCAAGTTACACTTTATATTATTCTCTACAGCTGCGGGCTTTGATTTTATCGTTGATTTTGGGTTGCGTGGGTAGGAGAATGGGGAAATTGGGCCGTTGAATCCGAAAAATGTGATGTCGCTGAGCAACGCTCAACGACGTTACTTTTAAAGTTTTTTGACAAAAATAATAATCCTTTCTTTCGTGACAACGACGAGTCGAAATCTTATCCCATCACTACCCGTATAGTTTGTTGATTAAATTTGGACAGATTATATATCGTAGATTTTAGTAGTAGCGGATCCAAAAAAAATTTACTAATATTTTTAAATTAACATTTGGGTTGGAGCGAGCGGCTGTAGCACAACCGGCTCATCACTAGATCCGCACACGATAGAGAAAAAGAAGAGAGGTTTGAGTAAGTGTTCTATTCTATGACACAGTTATGGTTAAAGAAATTAATTTTAAAGAAAATGATATCCAATAGTTCGTAAGCTTCATATAAAATGTTTTACGTATAAAAATAGATATTACATATTTATAAGTGCAATTATGATCAGGGACGGACCAAAAATTACAGTTCGATGGGGGCGAAACAAAATTATGTATAAAATAATTTTAAGTTAGACAACAATGATAATATTTGAAACGTAGTACTTTTTTTAAATAATTGTTCTTCACAACTTCTCGTACTTTGAAAACGCCTTATAACAGTTTCCTTATCAATTTCATTGAATACATATTTTTCAATATACACGACTATACTATCATCCAATCCGATATCGAAGACCTGAGATTTTGTTGGGTTTGGGCTAGAAATCATGAGCTAAAATAAATCGTTGAAAAAAAAATTGTAAATTTGAATTTCAAAAAAAAAACTCAGCTGGAGGTATTTGAAAATCCAGTTGGACTGGACTCTTATTGGGTTTGCCACTGATTGTGATCATGCATAGCTTTGATTTTTCTAGTGGTGATTACAACCAAGGGCAGATTTAGAGACGGGCAGGCCAGTACTACAACCAATCCGTCTACCCCAAATCCCCTTTAAAAAAAATAATAAAAAAAAAATTAGTAAAAAAACTTTTTTGTGTAAATTTTATTTTTTTTTAAAATTTTTTTGTATTAGCCCGTGTTCATGCCGGAAGCTGGATCGGTTAGTGATTATATCATCAAGAACCATGTTTGGTTATCAGGGCCCATGTGGCCTTGGTATTACAGGGGCACCAACAGGCGCTGGTAAAGGAGATTTATCCATATCGTCTTTGTATCTCGTAAATTTTATATAAAGTTATATTCAATTAAAATTCAAAGGTCTTTCTGGATTTTCAAAATTTCATATATTCAGATTGGGCAAGAGTTGCTCAAAAGTCAAAAACAGGATGTAAGGTCGATGCCGATCACATGGGGCATAGGATGCTGCTTATGGCCCCTACATGAATTATGGCCTTCAATAAAAAAAATATTTTTAATAGCTGAATGAAATTTTATTTTCATCTATTTATAAAAAAATCATATGAAATTGACACAATACCCCCTCAAAATGTCAAGATGACCTTGTGGGCATGGATGCCAAGCTAAGGAACGTATTTCCTTCCCTTCATATTTAGTATTCAAAATAATTTCATGTCTCACTGCTTAACTTAGCTAATCCTATACTTATCTCACAAGATATCCTTGGGTCAAAGTACTCTGGACATAAATATGCATTTGAATAGGTAACTACTAAAGGAAAATAGATGTGAATCTCATAACTTTTATCGTCTATTTGAAATAAATTAACGAACTATTTTGCCTTGCGCATGACACAACTGAGGATCTGAGAGAGTAGCTTAAGATTGCGCAAACATATGGTATTCTTAAGCATACTCCATAGAAGGAGCTCCTTTGTTACGTCCGAAGTATTGGGGGTCATTCACATGCCTCCCAATCCTCATGCTCATCACTTCCTGTAGATATTTGAGCAAATTGCGCGCTGCATTTCCCTTCATTAGTGTCTTGCCCACAGAGGACCATGTACTTGTTAGTCCATGGCTAATCCGAAAATGCTTTCGTAGCATACTCATTCCAACAGTATAAGTATCTAGTCTCATTTGCCCAATTATGTAATGCTGAATCCCGTAACAAGGCTAGAATCCACAACCAATGCACATGAGCTAGCAATCTTCAGCTACTCACACAAATATTCTAAAAGAGTTACAAATTGAACGAATTTTGTATTAGGTTAGAATCAACATGAATGATGTCATCCTCATATATTGATAAGAACTTTTTCTTGAAATAATGGCGTTTTTTGTAAATGCCTTTAAATGTGTGTGTGCTGAATGTGAACATTTGACAATTCATGACTTAATGTGCGTAAAAAATCTCGGACACAGAAATAAAATTGTGAGCGCACGTTGTACCATCAAATTTGACTATCTTTATGTGGTCTTTCTGATACCTGCACTTAACTTGTAAGCCTTTCACATGGCGAAATTATTCTCTGTTTATCTTGTTCTAATTTTCAGTGGATATTTTCAAGTTTCTGTTTCTGATTCCTCTGATGAATTTGTTTTGTTAGATTTCAGAAACCTGGTAACAAATCCCGACAATATTTTGACTTATAATTGGACAAAAAGTACTTTTTTCTGCAATTGGATTGGAGTCACCTGCAGCCCTGGAAGGCAAAGGGTTATGGCCCTGAAACTTCCCAACATGAATCTGGAAGGAACAATTTCTCCATCTATAGCCAATTTATCCTTTCTTGTTGAGCTTGATATGAGCAATAACAGTTTCCAGGGCAATATTCCCCTGGATTTGTTTAGAAACCAAAAGCTGGAAATCATGTCTTTGGCTTACAATAAATTCAGTGGAGATCTGTGGAGAGATATCTGGAATGCACCACAACTCAGAATTCTGAATCTTTCCAGGAATAGTCTATCGGGTTCAATTCATTCTTCGATTGGAAATGTTTCAAAGCTGGAGAGGTTGATTTTATATGAAAACATCATTGGCGGGAGCATTCCTGGAGAGATTGGTAACCTGAGTAGCCTCATGGAATTGGATCTGTCCAGGAATCGGTTCACAGGCTCGATTCCTCCATCCATTTTCAATGTCTCATCTTTGCTGGCAGTAAATCTCTCGAATAATAGCCTGTCTGGTGGATTCTTGCTTACTAGAGAGGATAATTTTCTTGACATTGAGGATATTGATCTCTCTCACAATCAACTTATTGGTGAAATTCCTTCCAGCTTATGCCGATTCAGGGGACTAAAATCACTGGATCTCTCATACAACGATTTTACAGGCCAAATAACAAGAAACATTGGTTGCTTATCAGAGCTTGAGAAGTTCTATGTGACAGAAAATAAAATAGACGGTACTATTCCTCCGTCTATTGGAAACATTTCTAGTCTACAATTTCTTGGATGTGTAAAAAATAGCATATCGGGAGATATACCTGAAGAATTGGGTAAGCTATTCAACTTGCAAATGCTTGGATTTGATTTTAACAATCTTACTGGTGAAATTC